AGTCTTAGTAGCTTTCTCAGTAAAATATGTCGAATATGGTCGGTTCTGTTAAAATTCACATTAAACTAACAGCTGCAGCTAAAAGAAACCATTTTCAAATCAACAGAAGGAAATAATCATAACATTGACAAAACGATAGTTTGAAATTGAGTTGTGAATTATAAAAGTATGCTTCATATGGAATGTATTAAATGGGAGATTCGAGTGGAGTTGAAAATTGGTCTATGAAATGTGTTATGCATTTGCAGTTCACATGGAATAATAAGGTGAATGTCTTAGAATTGTGCAATCGTTTGCAACATTTATGAATCTGCGAGTAAGTCAATTCTGAGAGATTTATTATCACTATTGTTTTAGTTATTTTCTTGCATAATTATTCATTGTATAAATAAGTTTGTATGCAATATGCAATTGAAAGTAATGAATATAATTAGAAATCATTGAATCAAATCATAACTTTTATCTTTAGACCTATCAATGGAAATGCGTGTTTCGTTTCTTTCTTGATTATTTCATTACATTTCCCCTTTTCGCGTTAATAAGGTGAATGTCTTAGAATTGTGCAATCGTTTGCAACATTTATGAATCTGCGAGTAAGTCAATTCTGAGAGATTTATTATCACTATTGTTTTAGTTATTTTCTTGGAGATGAGACATTTTTTTTTTTGCATAATTATTCATTGTATAAATAAGTTTGTATGCAATTGTAAGTAATGAATATAATTAGAAATCATTGAATCAAATCATAACTTTTATCTTTAGACCTATCCATGGAGATGCATGTTTCTTTCTTGATTATTTCATTACATTTCCCCTTTTCGCGTTTTCGCCCGGAATTCAATATCCCGAATATATATATATAGATTCCATTTCTTCTTCCCCTTTTTTCGTCTCTCGTTGTAATATAATGATTAATTAGATTTCTCCTTTTGCTCCCATCGCTTCTTGACCCTTTTCGCTCGACGGGATCAAGTGTTATGTCTCTGGGGAGGCGACATAAAAATCGAACGATATTTCCGATTCGGTGGACGAAAGGTATGCGGCGATATGAAGACGTTTTTCTTCTCGCCCTCTCAGCTCTCTTGTAGAAAAATGTATGTGTGTGTGAATGTGATACGAGTTGATTATGTGAAATGCACGTGACCGACATACGAACGTCGACCGTGAAATCCTGCACCAACCCTTTAAAAACCACCACATCCTACATAATAATGCTGATGTATTGGATGCATGATGTATTCTACCATTATCATTCATTACTTATAAAGCTTTCGATTTGTACTTTCTTATTTATAATAATTAGAAATTAATTTTAAATTTCATTTTTTTTCCTTATTTATTAAATAAAGTAGTTTAATTAATAATTATTGTAATTAATAATGAAATGTTAATTAATATACACAAATATATTGTTTGTGACATTTACATTAAATAATTTCATTACAGAAATACAAATAGATTCAGGAAATCTTTCAATTCTATTTCATAATTTCATCATTTTTATCTTCAGTTTAGTGAAATAGACTTTTTTGATAAACTGACATTTGAAATAGAGCATTTTCTTTTGTGTCATGTCTCATAGAAAAATTTGGAAAACATTTGTAAAACTTTCAGTAAATACTTAAATTACAAAAATTGAATGCAAATACTTCAGTTTTTTATAATAGTATATAAATAGTTTTTTTCCTCCAACTTCTTCGTTCCAAATTTAGCCCTGTATATGCTTTTATTATCGCGTTTAGCAGATGAGTCTTAATATATGTTTAATAAATACTGCAGTCAGCGTTCCGTTTCAGTTCCGCCCTTGGAGCCTATCTCCGCTTTATCACTCCAAACAGCCGCTGATGCTATCCGTCTCGCTTCCAAACTCGACATCCCAAACGAAACACTTTAATTTGCATAAAATACGCGCATTATACACGAGAGCATACAGTTTTGCGTTTTGCTAATTTGTCGTTAATCTTTCGACTAGGCGATTCCGTATACACACATATAAATGACGTTGAATTGTCGGGACGAGGGAGGAGAAGTTTCATTGCTTGTGCCGGAGGGGCCTTAAAGGAAGGACGAACACCAAAACCCTTAAACATGTATACATATTAAAGTGGCGCATTTATATGGGACTTTGTCTAAGGGATGTTTTCTGTAACGACCGGAAAAAAATACTCTTACATTCTGGTTTGTTGTGGGCATTATTATTTCGTGCCCACTCAATTTTTCCCTCGCACAGAAGCGACCCATTTTTTTTTGTTATTCTCTACTATATTAATATTTATTCAAACCGAGGGTTGTATTTTTATTAATTTACTTTCATTGCGCATTCCGAAGGGCGCCTCAATCCCTGCCAACTTAGGGTGACTCGAATTGTATTTTTTTTATGAGGGTTTTTTTCTTACCCTTTTCTTTTTATTATTACGTAATTTTTATCTTCATATAAAAGTTAATATATGGTCTCACATCTTTTAAACATAATATATTTTATTTTTTATGTTTTTTTTTTCATTATATATACAATTTGGAATATGTTACAAGAAAAATAGTTTATTTTTAATAAGTTTCAAAGAATCTACAACAATATTAGCAAACTTGAAACGTTTTATGTAGAAAATTGTAAAGGAACTAAAATTATTTTAATTTACACATAAAAATATAACAAAAATCATTACTATTTGTTACAATATTACAAAATTTGCTAATTGAAAAATGTTATGTAGCAAATTATAAATGAGAATAAAAATAAATACAAAAAAACTATAATAATTTCAGAGAAAATAAATTACAAACATGTATAACATTAAATAAATATTGAAATTCCTATTATATTTGCGACAATATAATAATACGATTTTGTATTTCCAAATTAAATTTCGGTTAAATATTATTATTGAATAATGAAATTATGCAATTCGCGAATATAATTCAATTTATTAGCGGATCAACGTACATGCAAAAAGCATAAAAAAAGCGAAATGTTTGCGCGAAATACACATAAACAGATGAAACTGGGGCGATAATTAACGGCGATAATCCGGATCCCCCTGCTCTCTGCCAATTTCCAAAACAATCGATAATCGGATTTACGAATTACATCTAATTTACTTTAATTTGCATAGAAATCAAGGTTTAACGATTCATTTGAAACTGATTGAAACATTAAATGTAAATAAATTATTTCATTCTTAACTACAATAGACAAATAAATAAAACATAAGTACAGTGAAACCTCACTTAACGAGTTTAATCCGTTTTAAAATTTCAGGATTTTTACTTGTATAGTGAAACATATTCAAGTTTTAAAAATGATGAAGAAGGCGCGCAATCCGGCGCGCAAGCGAGGTTCCACTGTACTAAGTATAGGTCAAAATGACCCGTTTATTAATTATTCAAACAAATTGAACAAATTATTAATTTTTACAACAATCCATCCGGTGTAATTACGGGTTAAAGAAAACAAAGTTTAATGATTAATTTTAAATGGAATGTAATATTAATTAAATACTATTTAATTTTTTGTTAATGATTAAATTTAATTTTTAATTGGCGATTACCGTTCGCTGCGAATTCATAATTATTGCTAATTTATTAATATGGAAATTTGATAGTGAATTATTTGGATTTAATTAAAATTAAAATCGAACATGTATACTCACCGGATTTTCAGTGCTCACATCGGTCACTCTGTGAATTATCAACATTTCATATAATAAATTGCATGAAAATTTATTATTTAAAATTAATGAGAACAAATATATAAAAAAAAAAACTTACATACTTACTGTATTTACTAACATAGATTTCATTTGAAAATATTTATTTTGAAAATTAATTATACTTACTTTACAAGATCTAAGGAATATTGAGTAAATACAAATTAAAAAATTGTATGTTTTCGTCAACTGTTTTATTACAAACTTAATACATTACTTTAAATTTTCATATAATATATATATTTATATAATGTCTGTATTCCTCATCGTCGGATTAACACTAACAAAAATTAGATTAACACGTTCATTCAATTAAACTGTCTCTCGCGTTCCGATTTCGTCGATCATCAACATACAATAACAATATTTATTTAAAATTAGTAACAGATAAAATAAACAAACAACGAAAATGCACTTTGTGTATTTAGATACATTAATTCGTGAATTGATTCAACTTCAGTGAATCTCGGATTTTAACATCAAAGGAAGAGGAAAAACGCAGTTTTTTTTTATACCCATTCATTCATCTCCCATTAATTGATTTGTAAATATGAAGAGTGGATATTTTGCACGGATTCTCGAATTTCTCTTCGAATTCCTATAATCCATTCATTTGCAAATCGATGTCGAATACTCGTGTTGTGTAAATTGATATATTAAACAAAACAAGCATGTAAAAACGTAACGGGATTGTAATTCGATGCACGAGGATTTGAAATTAAAACCTCAGATTACATTAAATCTGTTTTAATTAATAGGAAATAATCTCCTCTTCCTTCCTCCAATTACTGTTTTTGTATTGATCGTATTTGGTTTTGGTTTGGAAATTGAAATATGCAATACCAATGCGAAAAATGTACATATTTGTTTTCTGAAGCAAAATGTAATTTAAATTCTTTTCAAATGCACTAATTGAAAACATACTGAATGCAGTGTTTTTTTTTGTTCATGAAAAATATATAGAGAAACAATATTTTTGGTTTAATAATATCGAAGTTTCTTAAAGAATTTGATTTCATTATATAAAATTCATAATTTATAATATTTTTGTAAATAAATTTCAAAATGCTATGATCAATGTATGAAAGAGAATTGATTTGTAAAATTCGATTTGATCAAACTTTACAAAATTATCCAAAATTTTTAAATTGATAATACTAATAGTGAAAAGAATGGAATTGAGTAAATAGTTAGAAATGATAATTTTAATAATTACTTTATAAATAATAGAAATGTTGGTCAGGCTATAAAGTATTAATAAATTAAAGTGTTGCTGCAGAAAATTTTAATTATTTGACTGTTTTGCTTGGTACTGTAAATATGTATTAATGTGATAATGTAATTGAATTTGTTTTTGGAAAAGTTTTTGTCTTTGGATGGTAAATGTGTGAGAAGGGTGATGATCGAGGACGGAGTGAAGGAGTAAAGACCACACGCGCGCATTGAATATTCAGGTTTCCTCTCCTCTCCTATGAATTTTTTCTCTTCTTTTGGTAGATGATGATGATGATGATTATGGTTGGTGAGATTATTAGAACATTAGTTTTCGTTACGCGCGTCTCAGTCCTTTATCGTATGATTCAATTTACAATCTAAATATCACAAGGTGGTGGTCCTACTCACGACGGCGTCCGGCAGTGTTCTGTTAACTACGTCTGGATTATTGGGACTACTGATATCACAATCGAACTTCCAGAGGATCTCGTCCGTCTTGAGGCCGCTCTGGACGACGTCGCAGGCGTTCGCCGAGCTGACGGTCTTCGGGCCGACGAGGTTGGCGTTCTTCGGGATGTACGGCGGATGGTAGGGTGTCGGTCTGTAGCTGAGGGTGGCCGCCCTCTGTCCGCGCGACGTCGGATTCGATGGACCACCGCAGCAGTCGCGGATGGCGCTCGTCGAACAGGTGAACGTCGAGACGACCCCTCCGGCGCCGCTGAGCAGCTTGCGCTAGGTGTCCACATCGTAGGTTATTGGTGACTTTTTCATCTCCATCATCGGCAGAATGACTCCCTCCTGCACAACAAGTACAAAGCAAAGAGTTTTTTTTTTGTTTGTTCGTTTTTTTTCAATTTAACATTTAAAGGGCGCATGCAGCGGCGCGGTGAAAAGGACACAACGAACTCACCCCGTTCAAGTGGGGAAGATCGAGTGCGGCTGGGACGTAGGTCGTTGCTGGGCTGCACCTGGTGCACGTCCTCCGCAGAGCCGGTCTCTGCCTCGAACCGTGACATCTGACCGCAAAACGCAATTCCTCCGCCATCTCCGAACACAGACTCTGCCGATCGGTCTGAGCGTTTTTCTTGCTGTTCCAACAGAACTCCAGAATAGCCACAAGAATTGCTAGTGCTAAACCGCACAGTAAAACCACGAAAACCCCACCTACAATAGAAATAATCCATACTGATTTTATTAAATCCAAAAGACAATATTGAATTATTAATTTCAAATCAAATATTGTTTTTCAAAATTTAATTGTTTGATTTGCAATGATTTCAATTCGTTTTATAAAAATAATAGTAAGTAGTTGAAAAAGTAAAACGAAAATTTAGGGAAAAATAATCCATACTGATTTTATTAAATCCAAAAGACAATATTAATTAATTTCAAATAAATCATTGTTTTTCAAAATTTAATTGTTTGATTTGCAATTATTTCAATTCGTTTTATAAAAATAATAGTAAATAGTTGAAAAAGTAAAACGGAAATTTAGGGAAACATAATTCATACTGATTTTATTAAATCCGAAAGACAATATTGAATTAATAATTTCTAATCAAATATTGTTTTTCAAAATTTAATTGTTTGATTTGCAATGATTTCAATTCGTTTTATAAAAATTATAGTAAATAGTTGAAAAAGTAAAACGGAAATTTAGGGAGAAATAATCCATATTGATTTTATTAAATCCAAAAGACAATATTAATTAATTTCAAATCAATCATTGTTTTTCAAAATTTAATTGTTTGATTTGCAATGATTTCAATTCGTTTTATAAAAATAATAGTAAATAGTTGAAAAAGTAAAACGGAAATTTAGGGAGAAATTAAAAGAAATTATAATAATAATAGTAAATAGTTGAAAAAGTAAAACGGAAATTTAGGGAGAAATTAAAAGAAAAGAATGGAACACGAAAGTAAGTAACCGGAGAAGTGCCTTTGTCTGTAGGTAGTAAGATGGATGATTATACTCACCGATGTTTTCAACGCCAAGTGCGTTCGCCTTGGACTCTTTGCTTTTATCGTCTCGGTTACAGACATCGCCTGTGTTTTTCCACCACTTGTCGTACAGGATCTGTATGACGCCCTTCTCCTGTAGCTCGAGAATAGCCAACGAGATCTTATCCCTCCAGGGACTACCTTTCGGCGTTGCGATTCCGTATCCCTTCGAGTCGAGCAGTCCACCGATTTGAGTCAGGTTGCAGTCCCTCTGCACGGCGTAATCCAGCATAGTGGATTCCATTAAGAAGGCGTAGTCACCTTCGAGCACCCTCTGCACTCCCTCGTCGTACGTGGACACGAAAACAGGCGGCTTTTTGCTCTCCATGAAGCGCCACATCTTCTGGTAAATACCGATTTTGGAATCCTATATAAAAATCAAATCACCGTTTAGTGAAAAAAATGAAGTGCGAAGTCGAGGCGCACTCTGTCAAGCAATTACTCGGAAAAAAGTCATGGTGCTTCCGCCCTCCAAAGTGCCGTAATTGATTTCCGTCTGCTCGGCCAAATCGTGGGCACTTTCGATCGGAGTTATCATCCTTTCCACCGTCAGGAAGGCGGCCAAATTCGCCGTGTACGAGGATATTATGATCAAGGTGAAGAACCACCAGATTCCTCCGACGATTCTCGTGGATGTAGCCTGAAATTCGCGTTTAGTTATACAAAAAAAAAAACAACAGATATTTTGGAACACGTTGTCGCTGCTACGGGATTGGAATATGTAGGATATGGCGTTTCATTTGCTCTCTGGGCTTAATTTGATTAATGCCAGTCGGAAATTTGCAAACATTAAAGTTTTGCCCTTAACTCCAACAAACCACCTCATCTTCTTCCTCCTCCGTCTTCCAAAATTCTAACCCCTCGGGTGTGTTAAGTGTAAATGGGTATAATTTTGTACACAAATTGACATTACCGAGCAATTACAAATGCGTACATATGCACCCAATTCACGGATCATTTAACTATCGCGTACAAAGCAGAATTTAACTATTTACAATACATTATTCTAGTTTTTAAACATATTATATAATATGAAGAATAAAGTTTAACATAAAGTGATTGCTAATTAAATTTTCTATTTGATCTTGTAAGATTTTAAGTTATTAATTCAGATAAATCTTAGCAATACAATGTTTGTTCTACAATTAAATAAATCAAACTACATATTAACTAGCTTGGAGAAAATACAGTGGTATACTTGGTAGTTGATGTATGTAGCTTAAATGTGTGTTTTTTTTTTTGTAGAACAAGCATTGTACCTTAGGATTCAAGTCAGAGCCTTGTTGCATCAGAGTCCCGATGGCAAACCAGAAGCTATTGCAGATGGTAAAATCGTTCTCGAGCATCTCGAGAGAGCTTAGGACGTATTCAGACTCCAGATCATCCTCAATCGTCGACTCTAGATCATCCTCAACCGCATCGATAAATCCCGCCAAATCGCTTCCAATCCCTTATTTTTTTTGAGATAAGAAACCTTTAATACACTCTTCCACAATAGTACTGACTTTATAAAATAGTGGCAACAATTACCAGATGATTCGCAACCGGAATGAAGTTCGCAATCCATCGTCTCCGCATAATGATATTCTCCCTGCAATCGCCTCAGAACGCACTCGTCGCACTGTTCCGGCTCGTGCCATTCGCAGGGCGAGAATCTCGCCACGATCCAAATGGTTAAAGAGACCAGAAGATAAGCTATTCCCATGTACAGCCAAATCTCAATTGCTAATGGCGTGAGGAACGAGAAGAGGCGACTCGGAACGCGCACGGAAACCTGTCGAACGAACAAAAATTTGACTACAGTTCCTTGTAAACTCGAACGAAAAACCCTTGAATATCTGAAAAAAAAGTAATTTGAATAACCAGTGCGTCGATTCGGATTTGCGTTTGAATTTCTATAGTCGTTTGTAGTTCGAGAATCAATTTTTCGATATAAAATCAGTTGAAGGAATATTGCTATAACTTTAGCTTGGTGTACCTTATAAATTAACAGGAAGAAGTGCATAATCGCAATGATATTGGGCGTAGTTAAATTCTGCTTTTGTGTTTGCGGGTGCGTTCATTCCAAGTCACATAAAAAAAAAGGTTGCGAAAGAAAAATTTAATTAGCGAGTTTTTTTCCCGTCGTCCGAACGGGACGCCGTTTAATTATAGGATTTGGTCTTAAACCAGTCCCAGGACCAATTTTATCGGGAACCAATTACGTGCCGCTCCCCCGCAATTATTCGCTAGCCGTGAGTTGGAGAGAGAGAGAGAAATATCATCCTCTGGAGTGTAGAACGCACGGAATGGAGAAGGGAAATAAATGGGGAAAGAAAAGGGAACACATATAGAAAGAACAGAAAAAAATATTTTCTTTCTTTTTGTCTGTGTGTTAATGGGAGTTGCATGCGAGCGGATGGATAATAGATATATATAGATTTCGTTGTTTTTGTCGAGACCTTGGGATTGAGTCCTGAGCCTTGGCGCAGGAAAGTGCCCGTTATAAACCAGAAGCTGTTGGAAACAGAGAATTGGTTCTCGACGATATCGGATTCCTGGTGGCAAGGGTGAGGGTTGTTCCATTCGTACGGGGAGAATCGTGCCATCACGAAGAGGGTGAACGAGACCAGCATGTAAGCCGCAAGGACGTACAGCCAAATCTCCACGGCCAAAGGATTCATGAAGCTGAACAGACGAGTCGGCTGACTCGTCGGGACCTATCCAGAGAAAAAAAAAAGAAACAAACAAACGACATGCTCACAAACGGTTTTCTACCCCCTCAGAAACGTTCCCTCTTGCACTTAAATCTACACAAATACAAGAAAATAAATAAAAAATAAAATGCGTCGAGCGGAAAACCATGAATTGTTACGCAAACAAATAAATAATAACTGCGTGGAAGTTTATTAAAAATCCCACAATTTATTCTATTTGAAAGAAAAGTGAAAAAGAAAGTTTGAGAACTGAGAGAAAAGAAAATCGGTAATTATTTTCAATGCGAGTTTGATTGAGAAGAAAAAGAACGTAAAAAAATATAAATAAATTAAAATTTTAAATTTTCCGCGGAAAAACGAAGGTACAATAAAAAAGTTTTTCAATTAGCCGCAGACAGCTCAGCGGTTTCATCGAATAATAATGAGGATTTCGGAAGGGAGCGAATGCCAAAAAAATACAACGTACGTAAAAAAATTAATAATAAAAAAATAATGTTAGCTGAAATTTTTAGGTAATAACGAAATTTCACCACGCTGTCCGTAATTGATTACTGTTTTATAAGAGTATTAAAAAAAATGTGCCGTTAAAATGAAGTGTAATAAAAAAAATGTATGTGTGAGGTTTTAAGGTGTGGAAATATGATTTTACCTTGAATAGGATTCCGATGCCCAAGTTCATGAAGGGTTTCGTGAAATCTATGACGCTTTCTCTGGCGTAGTTTATGGTCATCGAAGCGACTGCTAGATCTGCTCTCTGTGAAAATATAAAAAGAAGTTTTAATTATAATTTAATTTAAAATAACAATTTTTAGTATATTTTAATATTACTAGGAGAAAATAAGT